AAAAGATTTTAAATGTTTATGTTCACAGTGTTACAGTGCCTATAGAGGCCAAAAGAGGGCATGGATCTCCTAAAACTGGAGTTACAGACTTGCCATGTGGGTGCTTTGATTGAACTCTGGTCTTCTGGAAGAACAGCCAGTGCTTTTAAACACTGAGCCATCTCTACAGACCCTTTTTAAAAGATTTCAATTGTAGCCGGGTGGTGGTGGCACATTCCTTTAATCCCAGAACTTGGGAGGCAGAGACAGGAGGATGTTTGTGAGTTCGAGGCCAGCCTGGTCTACAGAGCAAGCTCCAGGACAGGCTCCAAAGCTGCACAGAGAAACTGTCTCAAAAAACCAAAAAAAAAAAAAAGATTTTTAATTGTATCTGTGTGTAGATATGTATATGTAGGTGTCAATGGATGCCAGAAGTATGGATCCCCTGGAGCTGGAGTTACAGGCATTTGTGAGTCAGCTGACATGGGTGCTGGGAACTGAAAGTGGGTCCTCTGCAAGAGCAGTACAGTATGTACTCTAATTGCTGAGCTATCTCTAGCCCCAGGGGTTTTTGTTTGTTTTTAAATGGAAATTCAAACAAATAAAAAACAAATACTATTCAGCACTGTCATGAAAGTGTGAGGTGCTCGTGAGACCCCCACATCTTCCCGAGAATTGACAGGTAGTTAATAATTACAGCTGAGACTTTCCTTCAGTGGACAATACTCTACAGTGTCCATAACCCTGGAAGCAACCTACATTGGCTCATTGGGTCATGCACGTTAAAGACATAGAAACAAAGGAATAACATAACACAGGAAGGGGTGGGGAACAAAATAGGGTAATGAGTGGTCATGGTAAACATGATCAAAATGATGTTCATGCATGAAAATGTTATAAAGAAATCTTTATGTATCATTAATATATGCTGATAGAATAAAACAAAAGGCATTGTTATCCCTCCACCTCCGGTTCCCCCATAACAGAGCACTTTGTACTCAGAGTTGTACATCTTGCTTTTTCACTTAACAATGGATGCTGGAGATATCTGTCTGCTGAAGGACACAGAACACCCTTGTTTGTCTACTGAGTGGTTGATATTGGCTGATACCATGATGACTGACTTATCCAGGCTCTTGGGCCTGGCTGTCTCTGTAATGAGCAATCTCCTGTGATGTGCACCTTTGCAGAGGGGTCCCATAAGTCGAATGGCCCTGTTAGAGGACACATGCCTGTGTGATTTGGATAGGACCAGTTTATATTCCCAGTGGCTTAACACAGTGGTTTTTAGACTTAGGATGTTTGCTAATCAAATAGATGAGAAATGGGTTCATCTTAGCTTTGAATTCTAAAAGACCTGTAACTATGGTATTCATTTTCTATGAGCTACATTCTCATTCATTCTCTCTTCCTCTCCCTTCCTCCCTCCTTCTCTCCCTTCTAATTCAGTATTTGGAATAAAATCCAGAGCCTTCTGCATACTGGGCAAGTGTTCTGCCACCAAACTACATCTCTCACACTGTTTTACACATTTTGAAGTTGGAGTTTTGGGGAGAGTGAAAGGGTGGCTTCTAAAAATCTAGACAGGGTTTAATATAGCCTAGAATGACCTTGCACTCACTCTGTAGCCAACTATAACCTTGAGGTCCTGATCCTCCTACCTCTACCTCCTAAGTGTTAGAATTAAAAATGTGTCTCCCTACCCAGTATATTGAAATTGGATTTGTGTTGGTATTTTCGTTGTTTCTAAGAGACTTTCATCTGTTTGTCTTTGACATGAGTCCAAAGTATCCAGAGGTTCTTTTGGTTTCCTCTATTGTGTGCTTTAGTTAGTGTGCATGGGTTATTTGACTGTTCACAGTTGTGAGGCCTTTTGTTGTCTAGTCTTTTAAAACACTTGGCTTGAGCCAGGCATGGTAGCACTCACCTTTGATCCCAGCACTTGGGAGGCAGAGGAAGGCAAACAAACAAACAAATACAGAGAGAGAGAGAGAGAGAGAGAGAGAGAGAGAGAGAGAGAGAGAAAGACCCTTGGCTTATGTTTTGATTGGTTGTTTTTCTAGTTTGGGAAGGGTCAGGGGATTGAGACAGGATTTCTTTATTTAGTCCAGTCTAGCCTTGAACTTGTAATCTTCATATGTTAGCCTCCCAAGTGTTATGATTACAAGGATATATCATTATACCTGGCCTATTGTTTGTTTTTGAGACTCAAGAGAAGTGTGAGCTTCCTACCTGTAATGATTCTTTACCTTTAGTCTTTCAAGTCTGTCTCTTTTGTATCCACTACAACCCCCCTCCCTCCCCCCAAACTCCCTCTCCCCACTCTCTCCCCCCCCACTAACACCAATTGGTATTTTTCTTAAGGTGGTAACAATTTAACATTAGCTTATTGAAGAATTTTCATGTATGTGTGGTGTGCATGTGTGTACATGCATGTGTTCATGTGTATACACATGCATGTGCAGCCTGAGGTTGATGGTGGGAACTCTCATTTCTCTTGCACCTTATTCAGTGAAACAAAGTCTCAGTCAAACCCTGAGCTCACCTACATGGTCTAGTCAGCTTGCTCTGAGATCCTTTGTTGCCACAACCCCAGACAGAAACTGCAAGTAGGCCACCACACACACCTGGTATTTACTTGGCTTCTCAGGATCCCAACTCTGGTCATTGTGTTTGTAGCAGTTGCTTTAACCATTGAACTATCTCCCCAGCCCAGAGGACTAGTTTCTTTACCTCTTGAACCTCCTGAGTCCTGAGCAACTTCTGTTTTTCAGAGACATCCACATCCTTCTGATCTTCTTCATTGTCATGTCAGAGATACTGGGACAGATTGTGTGATAGTTTGTTTGTGCTCTAACAAATAAAGCTTGCCTGGAGGTCAGAGGGCAGAGTAGCCTCTAGTTAGCCATAGAGGCCAGGCAGTGGTGGCACACATCTTTGATCCCAGCACTTGGGAGGAGGAAGCAGGAAGATCAGGAGTTCAAGGCCACCTTGGGCTAAAAGATCCAGTCTAAAAGAGAAACAGAGCCAGGTGATGGAGGCTCATGCCTTTAATCTCAGCACTTGGGATCTCATACCTTTGATCCCAATACTTGGGAGGCACACGTCTTTAATCCCAGCACTAGGGAGGTGGAGACAGGAAGTAATATGGCTGGGCCGAGAGAGGAATATAAGGTGGGTGGAGACAGGAACTCGGCCCCCTTTTCGGCTGAGGAGTTGATGAGGTGAGAGGTGGCTGTGGCTTGCTCCTTTGTCTCTCTGATCTTTCAGGATTTACTCCAATATCTGCTTCTCTGGGTTTTTATTATTAAGACTAGTTAGGATTTGCACTACAACAGATCCTGACGTTAGACTCCGGAATGTTTTCCTTTTGTTGTCACTAAAGTAGGCACTTAGGTGATTTTATCTCGTTTGCTTTCTTTTAAGACCCGTTGAGAACAAACAGGTGCTAGCATGATGTTAATAGGGAATGTTGAATAAGTTAACAAATTCAGCCTTCCCCTGCAGTTGAAGGAACAAGACCTCAGTGAGCTTACAGGAAGAATAATGTGTTAGCTCTGGACTCCAAACCTGCTTCCTACTGCAGAAAATGCAGTTGCACTGCAGTCCCCCAGATGCCTTCTAGGGGCAAACACAGGGCCTCTAATTCTAAGTGCCATCATGAACATATCTGTATGAAAAGCCTGTGGTTTACTGTGTGGACCACTTTATTCCTGCCTCATGTCACAGAGATGCCCTTACTACCTCTGCTTTCTGTATGAGGAAGCAGATTCAGAGAAAGTAGCTGGTCCAGAGTTAAACACTAAATGGATTCTCTTTATTATTATTATTATTTATTATTATTATTATTATTATTATTTTGAAGTTACAGCCCTTCTCAGGGCCTTTACCACTATTTAACACTGTGTTCTAGTGAAATACCTACCCTGTTCACAAAGGAGTGGCTGTTGGAGGGCCGCCGGATGGGACATTGAATGCCCAGAGCTTTTGAAACTTCAATTTTTTATCATTACATGTGTGCACGTGGAAGGAAGGGTGGCAGAGGTCAACAGCAGGTGTCCTCCTCTGCTGTGGGATGTCTTTCTCTGCACTATGAATATGTTTTATTACCATTAGTTAATAAAGAAGCTGCTTTGGCTTATAGCAAGGCAGGATATAGCCAGGTGGGAAATCTAAGTAGAGATATGGGGAGAAGAAAGGTGGAGTCAGGGGAGATTCTGCGAGCTGCCAGAGGAACAAGATGTAATAGAACATGGGTAAAGCCACAAGACACATGGTGATACATAGATTAATAGAAATGGATTAATTTAAGATATAATAGCTAGCTAGCAATAAGACTGAGCCATAGATCAAACAGTTTGTAATTAGTATTAATCCTTTGAGTGATTATTTTATAAGCTGCTGCAGGGCCAGAGAAAAGCCATCTGTCTATACTCCTCAATCACCCCTGCCATGTTTTTGAGACAGAGTCTAGGTGAACCTGGAGCTCCCTATTCTGGAGAGGCTGGCTGGGTGGCCAGAAAACCACCCAATACTGGGATAACAGGATCATGCTGTGTACCCACCCAGCTTTTTATGTGGGTGTTGGGGATCTTAGCTCAGGTAGGTGCTCAAGCACTTAGTGACAGCCATGTGTGCAGCATCGCTTTCTTTAAAGTCACTATGAGATGAATGCTGTGTGTGTGTGTGTGTGTCTGTCTTGGACTGTTCTGAATGCTAATTAGCATTCCTAGACAAACTGGAGTTGGTTGCTGTCAATGATGGGGCAGAGCATGTAGGTCATCACTAAAGTGCCATATAGAAATCATCAGACTTGACCCTCAAGACAGCCTGGTACATGTTCTCAGCTCTGATGATTCCATTTTGTAGGTGAAGAGCCTGAGGCCCAGGAAGCTAATGGACTTGACTAGGCCTGTGGTGTTTAGGATCGCCCAAGCACATCTGTCACATCCTCCAGGTCTGTGGGCACCAACAGATGCTGCTATTGCTATCTTGGACAACTTTGTGTTTCTTTTACCCAGAGCCACAATCATGTCCTTGGATGACTTTGAGCATCGTTTGAATCAAGCAATCGAAAGAAATGCCTTCCTGGAGAGCGAGCTGGATGAGAAGGAGAATCTTCTTGAATCCGTGCAGAGGTTGAAGGATGAAGCAAGAGGTCAGAAGCTTCCCTGCCTTCCCCTGCATGGTACCTCTCTATCCAAGACAAAATTGTTCCTTGGTCTTGCCTAGCACTGCCTTTCCAGGGAGCCTGGAGCTGTTCTGTACATGAGCGGGTCTCCCAGAGACTGAGGGACATTTGCCAGGATGGGTGCTCTGAATTATCAGCTGCTGTCAGTGATTACTGGAGTGGCTGTCCGACACCTTATGTCTGCAGGAAAAGCCTTGGGGTTGACAGATTCAGCTTTGTTGATAGGTTTGTCCTCCTTGGTTCAGGAATGACTCTGTGGGGAATGATCCCATGCATGCCAGGCAAACTTGAGGCCTAGCAGAAGCACAGGGTTTCTTGGGGATAAAAATGCCATTGTATTGCTGGCCAACTTTTGGTTGTTTTTCCAGGCATGAAGTTTTTAGACTAATGGAACCTTCATTGGTGAGCCAGCCAAGCTGAGTGCTTAAGAGAGTTTGTTCCAAGTCTTAATTTCTTTTTTGTTTGTTTTGTTTTTTGAGACAGGATTTCTCTGTATAGCTTTGGAGCCTGTCCTGGAACTCGCTCTGCGGACCAGGCTGGCCTTGAACTCACAAAGATCTGCATGCTTCTGCCTCCCGAGTGCTGGGTGAGCCACCACTGCCAAGCCTCCAAGTCCTAATTTCTTGTTTACTTATTTATTTATTTTTTTCAAGACAGGGTTTTGCTGTGTAATAGCCCTGGCTGTCCTGGAACTCACTTTGTAGACCAGGCTGGCCTCGAACTCACAGAGATCCACCCGCCCCTGCCTCCAGAGTGCTGGGATTAAAGGTGTAAGTGATCACACCTATCCCTTCATTCTTTCTTCCTTTTTTCCTTCCTTCCTTCCTTCCTTCCTTCCTTCCTTCCTTCCTTCCTTCCTTCCTTCCTTTCTTTAAATGACAATTTGATTTCCAATGATGCAGTTACTAGATAGGGTTTTAAAGGCAACAGTTAGAGCTGGAGAGATGGCTCAGCAGTTAAGAGCACTGGCTGTTCTTCTAGCGGTCTTGAGTTCAAATCCCAGAAACCACATGGTTCTCACAACCATCTATAATGAGATCTGGTGCACTCTTCTGGTGTGCAGGCACATGCAGGCAAAACACTGTATACATAATAAATAAATAAATCTTAAAAAAAAAAAAAGCAGTGGTCAAGTTTAAATAGTTTTAGATTTCAGAACATGTTGGATTCCATTAGGAGTACTCAGTGGAGCTGGGCATGGCGGTGCATACCTGTAATCCCTGCACTTTGGAGGAGGATCAATTGTTCAAGGTCATCCTTGGCTTCATAGCAAGTTCAAAAAAAAAAAAGAAAAAACAAAACAAAACCTTGGATGGGAGAAATTCTCAATTGATTGATAAAGTCAATCAAATATCACAAAATTTAAAGAACTCTGAAATCTGAAGCACATCTAGTCCAAAACATTTCATATAAGAGCTACTAGCCTCTTGAACCTATAGCCATCAGTAATGAAGACACCAATAAATCACAGAAATTCATTTTGTGGAATGTTAAACAGTTATTAAAATGAATGGGCATTGGTAGACATGTTGTCATGGGAAAGATGGGCCAGACCCTTCATGGAAGGGGAGAGAATTAATTAGTCACAGATAGGAAGTGGCATATCCACTGCTAATGTTTCCTAAAATCACTTGTATTGTGCTCAGTGGGAGTTTCCAACACATGTGAACTGTGTACAGAGGAGGTCTGGAAAGTTAGGTAGTGGTGGACACTTAGAATCTAGTGCTCAGGAGGCTGACTCGGGAGGATCAAGTATTTGAGGCCATCCTGGATACTTAGCAAAATGCAGTCACCTGCTGAGCCATCACCTTGCTCTGCAGGTCTACCCAACTTTCTCAGGTACTTTTCCTTGTTCTCTGTCTCTTTCCAGTACTGGCTGGAGCCTGGCACTTTGGGCTCCCTTGCCATTGCTGAGTGTGCTGGCCTAACTCAAAAATGTGGCTTTCTCTCTTACTTTCTCTTAACTTCCATCTGGTAGCTGCTGAGATTTCAAGCTTGTCTGCTTTAAACTCTAAAACAGCAACAACACACACACACACAAAGAATACTTGGCCACGTGTTCCAGGGAGAAGGGACCTCAGGGAGCGGGGATTTTCACTTGGAATTCTATACCATAATGTGAAGTCTTTTTAACTGTTAGCATGGTGAAGCATGTACCATAGTTTTATGTTCTTCAGTATTTCATGCAGAAGGAAAGTGTGTTGTTTTGCATAACTGTTAGGAGGGCATGTGGGTGTCCCTCCAGTCAAGGTTTCCAGGTTGATTTCTGGGTCGTAGCACTCCTGTTTTGGCTCCTCCTCATCCAAAAGTAAGGACTCATAGGATTCTGGATCCTTTCCCTGCACAGATCTGCGGCAGGAATTGGCTGTGCAGCAGAAGCAAGACAAGCCCCAGACACCCATGCCAGGCTCTGGGGAAACAGAAAGGACAGATATGGCTGTGCAGGTCACAGGCTCCGTACCATCCACTCCCATGTCTCACCGAGGACCCAGCTCTGGTTTGAACACACCAGGAGTATTCAGACGAGGTGAGGAGATGGGCAGAGGGAGATTTTTCTTTGATTCAATGAGCTTGCCCTTAGGCCAAATGTGGTGGTACATGCCTTTAACCCTAGTACTTAAGAGGCAGAAGCAGGCAGAGCTCTGAGTTCAAGGCCAGTCTACATAGTGAGTTCCAGGATAGCCAGGGCTTTGTAGAGAGAACCTGTCTCAAAATGAATGAATGAATGAAAAATTTGCTCTGGTAAGAACCTAGTATGGGTCCTGGGTAAGATGGTTTGGGTCTGGCTCAGGGTTAGGGAGTAGTATGGGGATGCTCAGTGGGGCAGGCTGTCATGATGTATGACAGAAGGGTCTTGAGTGAGGCAGAGCATAGCAGATTCTGTGGTAAAGGACAGAAACTGTCTAGAAGGACAGTATGTTGGTTTTAAATGCGGTGCTTTTACTCTGTGAGGAAAGGTCACGAGGCACAACAAAACCCATTATCAGAGCTTTATTAGGAGGAGGGGGAGGACAGAAGAGAGCGTGGCCAGGCCTGTGGAAGAGACACGTGAGGAGAAGGGAGAGGGGGGAGGAGTCTGTGACCTGCTTTTTAAGGATTCCCCTGTACATGTGCATGTAGGCTTATGGAGCTATGCCACACATGTGCAGATTGTGTGACCACGCTGTGCACATTGCACATTCACACAGCGCACGTAAGACCCCTTGCTTGGCTACTGAACTGCGCATGTGTGGTCATATAGCTGGAGGAGTGGCTGGAATCCTAACATAGTACCCTCTCGACTCATGCCACAGAGGATGTGGGTCCATCCTAGCAGACCACTTTGGGCACCCCAAAGGCCAGAAATCCAAAGGTCTAAATGCTGTATGCAAATAAAAGTCAGAAAAATCATGGGTTGGACATGATGGCACATATCTATAATCCCCGTGTTCTGGAGACAGAGGCTATAAGATTGAGAGTTCAAGGCTAGCCTGGTCTACACAGTGAGTGCCTGTCTCATAAATAAGTAAATACTTACGAGGCGGAGGAGGAGTTCTGCAATAGATCTACCTGGAAACGGGCCCAATGTAATTGGTGTGCTTAAAACTAACAAAATTGAGTTCTCTTGGCTGATAACCTGATGAGGCAGGCCACTGAAGCCAAATAAAAATTATCAAATGCTCATTGTGTGCTCAACAGTCTTTACAACACTTCATAGTAGGACCTCACAGAGCTTCCTCACAGCCTGCATCTTTCAGATGCATTGGCTAATGTCCCTGAGGTCACCTTTATCTGTTATAAAGGCAGAGTTGAGGTTCACAGCCAGGCAGGCTGGTTCTGTTATACCCATGTTGTGAAACCTCCAGAGACCACCAAGGAGCTGATTTCCAATGTAAGCACACAAAGGTCTTTTTATTGTCAGGTTTGAACCTGGGCCACTGCCCAGCAGAAGGGAAATGCAGTGGCAGCTGCGGGCCCAGGGGTAGGAAAGTTTTTAAAGGGAAAAACCACAAGCCGGGACTTACATGCCTTGGTATCTTGGGATTGGGTAGAAGGGATATGAGGCAAGTGATTTTTTTGAAACTATTGGGTTAGACTTTTGGCGCAGAACCACAACCTGCTGACAGGATATCTGGATATCTATCTGCAAGGGCCATAAACTTCCAACAGGATGTCTGCAGGAGCATCTGGATCTTGTTAAACTTTACTGTCCTATTTCTTAATTGACTGCTTCTAGGGTATCTGTTCAAGTTGTCATGGCACATTTCTGAGGTTCTTCCTGGAACTGATTACAGCCCCCAGTCACTAGGTGGTCTAAGATGGTGGTTCTTCCCCAAGATGGAGTCTGTAAAGTCAAGTCTAGGCCTTCATAATTCCAGGGCATAAGCCCTGATCAGTTCACAGTGTGAACTTTGCTGAAGACTGGTGTGGTCTCTGGGGTTCCAGTCCAGAGCAGTTTCCTGTGTTTCGGTGTTCACATTACTCAACTTGGTGTCTTAGTTGCTGTTCTATTGCTGTGAAGACACCATGACTAAGGCAACTCATAAAAGAAAGCACTTAACTGGAGGCCTGCTTACACTTTCAGAGGTTTAGTTCATTATCATCATGGCAAAGAGCATGGCAGCAGGCAGGCACTTCCTGATCCACAAGAAAAGCTACTGGGCCTAGCATGGGCTTTTGAAACCTCAAAGCCGACCCCCAGTAATACTTCCTTCAAGAGGACCATACCTACTCTAACAAGGCCACACCTCCTAATCCTTAATTCTTTCAAACAGTTTCACTCCCTGGTGACAAAGCATTCAAATATATGAGCCTATTGGGGCCATTCTTATTCAAACCATCTGGGGATGAGTTAGTAGTTCAGGCTCAGCTGGTCTCAAATGAGGCCTACAGTTGTACCAGCTGTGTTGGGGAGGGGTTCATAACTTTAAAAAATTTATATTTACTTATTGGGGGTTGCTGTGGTATGTACATGGAAGTCAGTACCACTGAGCCATCACTGGCCATGAGTGGTGCTGATTCATGAGGACTGTTCAGCTGGCTGTGGTGATGCATGACTGCAGTCCTAATGCCCAGACTGACAGGAAGGATCCTGCCTCTCCCTCCCAAAATTGTGGCTATCCTGGTCATTGTTAATGTTAACATGCCTTAACTTGGTTTAAAAAGACTGACCTGTGAAATAGATGTTTAAGATAATCTTACCAAGAACTCAAAAAGTAGACTGGTAGACTCTTGGCATGTTGTCCAGTTAACTCCTTAATGGTGACCAGAGTCAAAGGGGAGGTGTCTGAGTTCATCCCCACCCTACACAGACTGTAGGATACTGTGTGACCCATGCTTCTTCTTGTACACCCAGGTCTGGACAGTTCTAATAGTGGGACTCCACTCACACCTGCAGCCCGGATATCAGCCCTAAACATCGTTGGGGACCTGCTTCGGAAAGTTGGGGTAAGCTCCAGCCTTTGAAGGGTTTTTTGTCTGAAGGTTTTTCTAGACAGGGCTTCTTTTTCCACTTTCACAGAGACCTGAGTTTTAGATGTGCCTGATCCTTCTACACCTCTGAGCATCCTTTAGCTCATGAGGTGAGAGTTTCATTGCAGAGGGGTAAGGTGCTCAGAATCCAGGTCCCCTTTTCCTTCTCAGGCAGCTTCCATTTTTCCTCCCAAGTAATTTGGGATAATAGGGTGGTGTCTGTGTTTGTGTCTCTTTCTTTCAAGATTGGGTCTCATTTTGTATCTCAGGCCTCATACTGGCTGCAGTCCTCCTGCCTCACAGTCTCCCAAATTCTGAAATTATAGTTGTGGGCTACAATGCTCAGTTATAGGTTGTTTCTTAATTTGAAGGAAAAAAAAATCCAAAGGCCATTTAAAAATGGGTTGGTCCTCTCTCCGTCTATGATTATAGAACATCTTAAGAATAGAGAGCCTTGACCTTCCTGGCTCTATGTTAATCACAAGGAGGGGGCTTTTGTCCTCCTACAGCCACAGAGAATCCTTTGTAGTTGTGCTTTCAGTTTTGGAAACTATGCCTGAAGGCCATCTAATGTCAGCCAGGCCTGGCCTGAGGCAGAAAGAGAATACGCACATGCACACGCACATGGGTCTGCTTGCATACACTGTTATGCCCAGATCACGGGGACCCCCAAAAGACCACCATGGAGACCAAATCCCATATGTAAAAGCAAAGAGCCTTTATTTCAAGCTCTGGAGCTTGGTCCCTCTGTCTGTCCGACACAGCGGTGAGAGCAGGGAGCCTTGAGCTCAGGTGGGGTGGGGTTTTTATCATAGCAGAGGTTGGGGTGAGGGGATTTCCAGGGTTCAGGACCCTGAATGGATGACAGTTGTCTAGGGGTGTCTTGGTAAGAAGGGGAAATAGGTGCGTACTAGTCGCAGGGACATCTGGCCACCTTATCAGCTTAAGGCTTTTCCTGGATCTGGGTGTTGCCTACCAGTAAGCTTGTCACAGAAGCTGTGTGTAGGCCTCTAAGCCTGTCACAGCAGCTGTTATGGTCAAGCTGTTTTGGGGCCCCGCCACATACACAGATCTGTAGGTCTTTGGGTTTTTAGGCTTGTTTCTTCCAAGTTCAAGGCCTTGTTTGACCCTCTGTGCAGGGTTAATGATGTAAACAAGTGAATGGTTCCAGAAGATGATTAGTACTATTGTTAGTATTTGGTGAGGGTAGTTCTTTTTTCTTTTTTGTTTTTTGACACAGGGTCTTGCTATGTCACCTAGGCTGGCCTAGAACTTACAGTAATTCTCCTGCCTCAGTCCCTTGAGTGTTGGGATTACAGGTGTGCACCACCATGTGTAGCTCATATTTCACTAGGTGGAGTTAATGATTTTCTGGGAAGCTTCTTGATATTTTAGGTGGGGAGTTTTAGTCCTTGTAGATGCACTAAGTTCCACTGAGGACCCCTCAGAATCTTGGGAACATAATTTTGGTAGTTTTCTCTTCCCTGGCTCCCATGCTCTATTTGGTTTTTTGATAGTCTCTCTCTGTAACTCTGGCTGTCCTGGAGCTCACTATATAGACCAGGCTGGCAAGGGATCTGGAATTTGGTCTGACTGGACTCACATCGATCTGCCTGCCCCTGCTTTCTAAGGGCTTGGGTCAAAGCCATCATGCCCAGTGGCTCTTATACTTTTATGTTCCTGTCTTTTTTGTTTCCTTGAGGGGTGGGGAAGGGTGTGATAGGAATAGGGTTACATGGCCCAGGCTGGCCTCAAATTTGCTATGTAATTGAAGATAACTTTTAACTTCTGATTCTCCTGTCTCTACCTCCTGAATATTGGGCTTATAGGTATGCCATACCTAGTTTATGTACCACTGGGGATCAAACCCTGGTCTTCATGCATACTTGGCCAGCACTCCCTCCCTCTTCAAGCTGGCTACTTCTACAGCCCCTTGTCTATACCTTGACTGATGAAAGTATGTTTCTTCCCAGGCCCTGGAGTCCAAACTAGCATCATGCAGGAACTTCGTGTATGATCATTCCCCAAGCCGAACAAGTGGTCTAGCTTCAGGGCGAGGAACCAAAAATGGTGGTGACAGACGGCCAAGCAGCACCAATGTAGGAGATAAAGGGTCAGTACCTTTGATAAAGTCTATCAGGAGGTACTAAGCTGCTCCAGATCAGACACTAGCCCACCTGGTCTCTAGTTTTAAGGTTGTAAGATTATTGCAGCAAACCTTAGCCTCTACTTCCTTTTAATGTCACAGAGACTTCCTTTGTAGCCTAGGCTGGCCTTGAATAAGCCCCTTGCTTAAGGCCAAATGAGATGATGTCTGAATTTTGACAGGCAGATAAGGAGAGAGCAGTGTTTGTAATGTGATTCTGCACTGTGAGAAGGTCCTGTTCAAATCCTTTTGTTGGGGAGTTGCACTTCCCCTAGAACATTTTGTGAATTGGGATACACTATGTACTTGTGTATGTGGAGGCCCATGGTCAACTTTAAGTGGTGTTCCTCAAGTGCTGTCCACCTTGATTTTTGAGACAGAATCTGACTGGCATGGAACTCATCAAGTAGGCAACTAAGCCCCAGGGATCCACCTGCCTCTGCTTCCTCAGTGCTGAGATCAAAAGCATGAGCCACCATATTTGGTTTTTTTACATGGGTCTTGAGGATCAAACTCAGGTCTGCTGCAGGGTTTTGCCACCTGAGCTGTTGCCCAGCCTTTGTTTTTAAATCTGTAGAACCTTCAAGAAACTAAATGGACTGAGTCTGTCCAGTCGGACCAGATCCTGAAAACAGCCACAGGAATGGGAGACAGAACTGACTGCCAATACTTCTTTTATTTTCTTGCCTAAGGGAAGCCCATAGTGGCCTCTAGAGCTAGGAATTCACCAAAAGAAGCATGCATTGCCCTGGGACCCAGGCCATGTCAGTCTGACAGGTGTGAGGCAGGCACACAGGGAAATGAATTGATCCACAGTGCACACTTAGCTTCTGGACCTTTAAACACAGATTTTTAAGTGTATTTATTTATTTTTACGACCAGGCCTCACTGTGTAGCCTTGGCTGGCCTGGGGCTTGAAGGGCTGTGCAGACCAAAGAGCTGCCTGTCTCTGCCTCCTGTGTGCTAGGATTAAAGGCATACATAACACCATGCACAGTCAAAATTTTTATTTAAAATAAATTTTTTCATTACATTTCTTGTGTGTGTGAACACACACATGTGCCCAAGTGTATTTTCCATAGTGCACGTGTGAAGGTCAGAGGACAACTTGAAAAAGTCAGTTCTTTTTACTGTGTGGATTCTGGGATTGAACTTAGATCTTTAGGCTAAGCAACAAATATCTTTACCTGGTGAGCCATCTCTTCAACCTTAATTTTTTTTTTTTTAATTCAAGGAACTGGGAATGTTGCTCAGTAGACACAAGTCCCTGGGCTCACCTCTAAGCACTCCCCACTCTGAATGAAATGACCAAGAAGTGACATGTGACACTTTTGTAGGGTCTTCTGAGATTGGGGACTTTTCTGCAGCTTTTGGAATCAGGGAACCAGGTAGCCAGTATCCTTTTCTTCATTTCACAGGAGAGAAAATTGAGACCCTGTGAGACTTGTTCCTGTTCTTGACATGCACTCCTAGAACCCTGGGGGCTCTGTGCTAGGCACTGGGATACTGCTGTCTCTCTGTTAAATATGATTTGCTCTGTCTGAAGGTCAGGAAAACGCTTGGAGTTTGGAAAGCCAGCCTCACAGCTCTCATCACCAGCGCTGCCATCCACCCAGGATGTGGTCAAGCTTTTGCTTTAGGACCAATGGGAACTGCGCCCTCACCTGCCTTACTGTCTTACCCCCTTATATTCAGCTTTTGGTTGTTGAATTTTCAAGTTAATTTGAGAAATAAGAGCCAGCATCACCAGCATTTACTTTGTGCTGTGCAGCCTAAGCTGACTAAGGCTGTTGGCCATAGACTCAGCGTCATCCCCGTAATGTGTCCCAGTCCCTGGCAGTGTGTGTGCCATAGAAATGAGCTGGTATCCTCCTCACCCCCCAGAGCAGGCAGTTCTAAGGTATGGATGATGGGGCTACCCTGTCATTGGCTACCTAGGGTTTTAATGGCCTCCAGAGGTGTTTTGAATATGCATAATATTCTTCAGGGGGACTAGAGCCCAGTTCAGGAGCTCTCCTCTGCAGCCTATTTCCAACTGGAGCTGTCTTCTGGAATATTCTGCCAGTGCTTTTACAGCATGATTAAATTGTGTCTAGGACTGGGAGATTACAGAGGCATAGGGCTGTTTTAAACTATGATTGTGTACTTTTGCCACCTTTCTCTGTCCTGGAACTTGCTATGTAGACCAGGATGGCCTTGAACTTAGAAATCTGCCTGCCTCTGCCTCCCAAGTACTGGGATTAAAGATGTATGTCACCACTGCCCAGCCCTTTGACACTTTTAATCTGCCTCAGGATTTTAGAGGTGTGTCTGACTCTTAGGTCAGTGGGAGATTATCCTCTGTAGATAAATCCTGCCTCCTATCTTTCCTGAGTCCCTTGCACTAATGTTGGAGTGACTTCTGCATCAGGACAACTCAGAGTTGGACTGGCCTTTTTTATGCCATCCCTAAGAACAAGACTTCATCCAGACACCATAGAATAACCAGGGTGACTAAAACATCAGATTGAGATCGCTGGCGGACTCTCCCTTGGGATGTGGAGAAATCAGTGCAGGAACTGTCTGGTCTGGGGTGAAGCACTGCCTCATGCTTGGTCCTCAATGGGAAGCAATCGCACACTAATTTCCAGAGCTAAACGGCCTTCACTTTGCTACTAACTTATTTTCTAGTAGATGGGGCAAAACTGGCCTTGAATTGGACCTAGAACTTGGAGTGCTACTGACATTCACAAAGTGGTTTTAAGCTCTGTGGCTATTTGTTCCACTTAGACATTCTAATCTGGAAAAAGATGGACTTTATTTTTTATATTAAAAAAAATAATAAAATAAAATAAAAAAAATGCCTGCTTTGCTGTTGTGTTTGGTCCTTCCATGTCTGTGCACATGGCCCTGAAGTTAGTTTAGCCAAGTAATAAAATATTGGGATAAGTGTTTTGTGTGTGGGTATATGTAGTTGCTTGTGTGGATTTGGAGACACATGTGTGCACATGTATGGGGATCAGAGGTCAGCATCTGGTACCTTCCTCAGTTGTATGGGTGGTGTATGTAGGTGTTTGGGTGAGTGTGTGGGGCACGTGTGCACAGAGGTCAATGTTTGGTGTCTTATTTTTGAGGTAAGTTCTCTTACTAAACTTGAGTTCATTTAACAAGCTCCAAGAACCCCCTTTTCTCTGCCCTGCAGGGTAGGGTTACAGAAGTATACCATCTTGCCCAGCTTTTATGTGGGTACTAAGAGTAGTCAGGGCCTCATGCTCAATCTGTTCACACTGAATCTGTTCTTTAACATTTTCTATTGAAGTCAGCTTTTTCGCAGCTATTTGGGGGAAATGTTTGTGTGTCATTCCAGTTATAGTAGCATTTAGTAGAAGGATTGGCTTTTTCAGTATCCGTATTCCCTGTCTCATTTTTTCTTTTCTTTTAACATATTGAGTTGGGCTTTGGAAAAGTTTGTGTGGACTAGAACTTTTGCAGAGCATGTCTGCCTATAGTGCTATAATTGGGAATTAATGGGCCCTGGCCTGCTTCTGTAGGGTCTTCATGCTAAGAACAGTTTCTTAAATGGTTACGGGGGGGTGGGGTGAGATAGCTTTGGACTTATGGTCATCCCTGTCTCAGCCTTCCATGGGCCACCATGCCTAGGTGTTTGGGTTTTTATTTTATTTTTTTAAACAGATCTGCTTGAAGATGAATGTGTTTTAGAGGCAGATGTGGCCTGCAAGTCTGAAATATTTATTTTTAAGTCCATTGTGTGTGAGCCATAACACTCATATGAGTGTATGCCAACACTCATGTGATGTTCAGAGTACAGCTATCTTTATGTATTTGACACAGGATCTCATTATATAGATCATGCCATCCCAGAACTATGTAGCCCAGGCTGGCCTTAAGTTTTCAGTCCTCCTACCTCCCCCTCCTAAGTACTGGGAGTACAGGCATAACACCCCTGTACCTGATGCCTGAAGGTAATTTTATACAGTAATTTTAGTGTGTCTGAGTTTTGATTATGGCCCATTCCATTTGGGATTTTCCAGTGTTGGTGGATAAGAGTCTTCAAAGGTGTTGGGGACATTTGGATTTTCAGACTAGATACTCAACCAGTACAGAGACAGGTTTGGTGGTAAAATGCTCTCCTTAGTACCTCAGTTACACAGCCTGGTACACAACCTTCTAGCTGCTTATGCCCAGTCAAGCATGTTGTATCTCCATGATTGTTTCCTCAGTTTATGAAAGAAATAAAAAGTTCACAGGGTCACTGAGAGGATTAAATAAGAATGTCCTGCCCCATCCTGCAAAAGACAACAGCTTGATAGAATAGCCAACTCCATCTCGTGACTTATAACCTTTTATTAGTGAAAGTGTCCATGGGTACAACCTGGGTGCAATAAGACAGTGTGATCTCTCTGTTTTCAGCCCTTGGAGCAGTGTTTCCTTTTTAATTCACATGACAAAAATAGTCACTTGGTCTTGGTGAACTGTGTGTGTGTCTGAGGTGTGGCAGCCAGAGAGGAGAAGGGAATTTTCAAACAAGGGCTTTCCTTCCTAACTGGAGCGGTCAGGGAATGATTTGGGAGTGGGCTGGGGGCAGTGGTACCCATTTAGGTAATTTACTCATTTCATGTAAACAAAGTTGCTGGTGACTGGTGACTGTGGCTATTTTCCTAAAACCTATCTTCGCAGTCCCACGGAATGCAAGGTCTGGCCTGCATCTCTTATTTGGGTTTTGTTTGATAGCACATCCTAAAACCTGAATTCACACCCTTTGTGTAGGGCTGTGGTGTTGAGTCATTGTGAGGGATGGAGTGATGTCTGCGGCAGAGTCTGCTGGGTTCTGCTGTCTTTAGTGTTTTGTTTTCCCTGCCATGGTATATAATTCTGAATTTATTCACTGGCTTTGGTTCCATTGAAGTCTGAGTCCCGAGCGTCCATTTCTTCTTCAGAACCATCTGTGTTTTCAATAACTCTACGGCCTCCAGCCCTCCTGGAAGGAACAAAGGAGGCCTCGTTTCCTCGCCTGTGGGTTTTAAGCAGAGAATACACATGTCGTTAGTAAGGAAATCTCCCAGCAAATTGGAAGAGCTTTTTATCAAGGGCTGAGACCAAACACACACTTAACATGAATGAATGAGTCACAAACAAATTCAGGGTGAGTCCCAGCCAGTCTTAAAAGTCTGGGTGGTTCCATTTATTCAGTTGGCATGGGATTATTGGCTTTTAAAATATGTCTGGTTTGGTCATTTAATAATACTTAGGATTCTGGTCTGCCAGAGTGTTGAAGACCTGGGAAGAGAAAAAGGACAGGATAGGTGGAGAGTAGCTGACACAGGCCTAGTGAGAAAAGGTGCTGTTTTATCTGTAAGATTTCTGTCCTTTGTGGGAATAATAAAGGCATGGTTTTAGGTTTTCAAAATGGACTCCAAAGGCAGAGTGGAGAGAGAGTGACACAGAGGACACTCCTTAGTTGAAGGGTAACAACAGCATCATTTCCCTGTGTGGAACTTCCTATCCTGAGTTCTCCCATGGTAGAGAGACTTGAGTGCCTGCCATGGTATCTGCCTTGAGTGTGTATTTTCCTCATTGTGGTCACATGATACATAACATAAAGTGGATGCTCAATGAATATTTGAAATTGTTAGTCTGAGGTACATGTTTGTTTCAGTGGGCAGCACAGCCCTGAATCTTCACAACTCCTGTCTTCAGCCTCTGGCCTGCTCCATCCTGGCTATCCAAGTCCACCGGATTTTATAGGAAGGGCTAATTATATAGAGTGTGGCTTTGGGTGAGAGGAGCAGGTGGGAAGAAAGGGAGAATGGTCAGTTTACTTACAGCTAACCTTTGCTATTTCACAGAAGGTTATGTGGATGTTCAATGACTCAACACATGATCTTGTTGGGCCCCCACCAGCACAGCCCTATTTGACCTGAATTTGAAGACAGGTGCTAACCCAGTTTAGTACAGTTAAGAAAGCCAATGTTGGGTAACAAAAGCAACTTGCTGGTCATAGGAAGGCTAGAGGGAGAAGCCATGAGGGTGTGCCCACCACTGACCCATTCTGTAGCCAAAGGAACAGCTCGGACAGATGACACACCAGAGGCATAGGCAGGCCCAAAGGTTATGATCGGCAGGTGGGGGAGCTCCCAGTGTGAACCTTTTGGGGTTTCCTAAGATGCAGTGATCAGGAATAAATACTTCAAAAGTTGTAGCCACTCCCAAAATAAGACACCCTGGCCAGCTTCAGAGGGTCGCTTCAGAAGGGCCACTTCCTTGCCCATTTCTTCTCAATGCTGTGGGTCAGAGAGAAGGGGCCTAGAGTGCAGTGTGGAGAGGTGACTGTTAGTGGCCCTCTCCTCACAGCTACATTTTTGCTTGGGAACCTGAACCCAGTGGGTGGTGGCCTGGGCTGGAAACTGTTTAAGTCTACATTGAGGTTCTAGTCACTTTGTGTCTTTTGGGAAAGTCTGTATTTGCTGACTCAAAAGATTTGTCCCTTAACCTTAGAAACAAGTCATGACCTAGTCATCAAGAGAGTCTGCAGGGGCATGGTTCCAGTGCAGGGATCACTATTGGAAAGAGTGGTTCCAAATCCTAAACAAAAGGTTGATACCACCTGGGTGGTGGTGGTGCACACCGTTAATCCCAGCAGAGGCAGGTGGATCTCTGAGGTCAAGGCCAGCCTGGGCTACAGAGTGAGTTCCAGGACAGCCAGGGCTACTCAGAGAAACCCTGTCTTCAAAAACAAAAACAAAAACAAAACAAACAAACAAAAATAAACAAACAAAAAGGTTGATACCAACTCTCAGTTATAGGAAATAAGGGACCCTGCCAAAGGTTTTCTTAAAGGGTCTCTCCTCCTGGAGGGTTGTGAGTATTTCCAAGCTCTTGGAGTTTATTCTAGGCACTGTGAGCAGAACAGGCCTCCATAGGAGAGTGGAAGCCTCTGCTATTTTGCCAGGACATTGTTTCCTGTTGGCTAGAGAAGGTTCCTCTGCTCTCCCCTCGAATCCTTGGGGATGCTCTCTGCAAAACCTCAACCAGCTTTAAGTATTTGGCAGCAAGAGCAAAGTTGAAGTTCTACAAGGAACAGGTAGATAACAAGCAAGGGTGTCCTTATCCTCAGTGTGGGGACTGGGAACTCCATTGGGCCTTTGTTGCCTGGCTACACCATACCAGAAAAAAAAAAAAAAAAGATGTACTTTGAGTCCATTCCCCTGACCGTGAAAATGTGCAAGCCCATGAGGCCTCCAGAAAAGGTTCCTACAGGTAATGTCCAATTCCCACCCTCATGTACTGAAAATTGGGCAGTAAGCATTGAGCCCAAGATCAAGCCATTTGAAGGCCTGGCATCTGTGTCAGGGAGTGCTCATGTCCTTTGGACAGGACAAGTTTAACCATGAGTAGATGAGTTTCTGGGCTGTGGTCAATGTGGCCCTGTGTTTATTTTATTCTGGACTATGACCCAGGCCAGCCAGATAGAAGCCAGATCCATTTTCTAGGGGTTATGCAAAGGGGAAGGTATCTCACCTGTACAAGGAAAGTGCACTGCTGAGTATCCTGACAGTGTATGAGTGGCCTCAGCATGCAGCTAAGAAGAATCCCTGCAAGGGCTAGGGCTGTAGCTCAGTTGGTAAAGTACTTGTCTACCATGCATGCATAAATCCCTGGGTTCCGTCCTCAGTATCACATAAAACAGTGTAGTGGCACATGCCTGTAACTGCAGCACTTGGGAGACAGAAGCAGGAAGATTTCTAGCTTAAGGTCACCCTTGTCTACATAGTGAGTTCAAGGACAGCCTGGATCATATGAGACTGTCACAAAACAACAAAACCAAAACCAAAACGAACAAATAA